GGGGGGGGGGGTTGTGATGCATTGTGGGAACAGCCGCAGCCTCCTCCTCCATCTCTGCAGCAGCAGGAACAATAACCAGCGGAGCAGAGGAGTCACTGCAGCCGCCTGCCTGCTCTCCTCTCCGGATACATCTCTCCGTGTCTGCGGAAAGAACCGAGCTGGTGTGAAGAGCTCCGCGGAGGAGGCAGGGAGGGAGACGGGCAGAGGGAAGATGTCCTCCCCGCAGGTCTCCTCGTCCCGCAGACAGTCATGTTATCTGTGCGACCTGCCCCGGATGCCCTGGGCCATGATCTGGGACTTCACCGAGCCCGTGTGCCGCGGCTGCGTCAACTACGAGGGTGCGGACCGGATCGAGTTCGTCATCGAGACCGCCCGGCACCTGAAGCGGGCTCACGGTTTGCAGGAGGGCAGGTCCTCCGCCGGCGGCCCGCAGCAGCAGCCCGCCGTGGCGAAGGGCCAGGCGGGTTCACTGACCGGGAAGGAGCCGGTGGGGCATCCCAACCACCACCACCTCCAGGCGGACGCACCGACGAAGTCCCAGCAGCCCGGTTTGGACCGGTACTCGCTCGGTGCGGACAGCCGCGCTCGGTTTGACTACAGCGGACACAGCAGCAGGCTGCCCAACGGACTCGGAGGGCCGAACGGGTTCAAACCGGACGACGGACCACCCGAGCTGAACCGACAGAGTCCGAACTCGAGGAGCAGGAGCCACGGGGGGCTGGGGTCGGCACCGGGACAGATCAATGTTCCGCCAAACCTGCTGCCTCAGACCCTGCTGAACGGACCGGCCCCGCACGGCTTGGCGAGCAGAGGCGCCCCGCAGGGCTCCATGGTCAGTGTCTCCATGCCCGGACAGGTGGGGCTGTCTGACCCGGGAGGGAAGCGGCCGGCCTCGGTGTCCAGCACGGACCAGGAGCGGGAGCTGAAGGAGAAGCAGCGGAACGCGGAGGCTCTCGCCGAGCTGAGTGAGAGTCTCCGGAACCGGCAGGAGGAGTGGGCCAGCAAACCGAAGACGGTGCGGGACACGCTGCTCACTCTGTCCGGCTGCACCCCGTTCGACGTCCGCTTCAAGAAAGACCACGGGCTGGTCGGCAGAGTGTTCGCCTTCGACGCAGTGTCCAAACCCGGGTTGGACTTCGAGCTGAGGATCTTCATCGAGTACCCGAGCGGCTCCGGCAACGTGTTCTCCAGCGCCTCGGGGGTGGCCAAGCAGATGTACCAGGACTGCATGAAGGACTTCGGCCGGGGTTTGTCCTCCGGCTTCAAATACCTGGAGTACGAGAGGAAGCACGGCTCCGGGGACTGGAGGCTGCTCGGGGATTTATTACCGGAGTCCCTGCGGTTTTTTAAGGAGGGTTTGGGGGGAGACATGCTCCCCCAGCCCTACATCGACGGCAGCTACCCGCTCCTGCCCACCTCCCTGGTGCTGTCCGGCCGAGCGGTGGCTTCTGGCAGCGGGAACAGCAGCTCCAGGGCCGCGGTGAGGAAGAGGAAAGCCTCCCCGGAGCCGGACTCGGCGGAGGCCGGGCTGAAGCTGGAGGAGCAGCAGAGGCAGCAGTGGATCAACAGCCAGACCGAAGCCCTCAAACTGTCCATGGCTGCGGGCTCCTTCGCCGGGGCCCCTGCATCTCTCGGGTCTGGACACCCCGGCCTCTCCGGCCGCTCCACACCCCCGGAGCCCGCCGCACCTCCGCAGAACGGACAGTCCCCGATGGCCGCACTCATGTCGGTCGCGGACACGCTCGGGAACGCGCAGTCCCCCAACAAGGACAGAGACTCCGTGCACTCCACCACCTCCTCCAGACACAACAGCAGCCCGGTGTCCCCCGCATCCGTGTCCGGTCAGAGGCGCCTCTCGTCCCGCAACGGAGACCTCGGGCTGCCCGCGCCCTCTCAGTCCGCGGGGGGCATGGACCAGGTGCACGCTCAAAACGTGCCCGACTCCCCCATGGCCAACAGCGGCCCCCTGTGCTGCACGATCTGCCACGAACGGTTAGAGGACACGCATTTCGTGCAGTGTCCCTCCGTCCCCAACCACAAGTTCTGCTTCCCCTGCTCCAGAGAGAGCATCAAGGCCCAGGGAGCCTCCGGGGAGGTGTACTGCCCCAGCGGGGAGAAGTGCCCCCTGGTCGGCTCCAACGTGCCCTGGGCCTTCATGCAGGGGGAGATAGCCACCATCCTGGCCGGAGACGTGAAGGTGAAGAAGGAGAGGGACCCCTGAGGAGGAGGAGGAGACTTTCAATTCTTCCTCTCTGCTTCCACTGCAAATCAAAAAGCCACATGAGTCTGCAGCTGAGCCTCAACACTTCAGGAGTCTGTCACAGAGGGAAACATTGATCTGAATATAAATCAGCTGTTGAACAGGGCTGCAGATAAAAACCTCTCATTAGGTCCAAACACAAAACCTGGGATTTATTCTGTGTCTGCTCTCACGTCTTCAGTCTGTAAAATGGAAATCAAACAGGGAAAAGAAGCCGAGGTCAAAGGTGACGTCTTCAAATATCTGGTTAGAAAACAGAAACGTTTAATCAACGATCAGAATGGTTGCCTGATTCTTTTCTGAGTAATACTTTAATAATCTACCACTTGTTTTCCAAAGAAGTGTATTAGAAAATATCCATTATCAGCATTATCAGTGTCCTGACTGTGTTATAATTACAAAAAAAACTATTCTCAGACTGACAATATTAAACTAAGAGATATAAAAATGTTTTTAAATATTAGGTCAAGTAATTAGATTTCATGAAACATGTCTACGTAACCTGGACTCATCAGGAGAAAGGTCCTGAAACTCAATCAAAGGTCTGAGCTTTAACCACGAGACTCTGCATCTTTCATCTGCCTCCAAACTCAGTGTGTTAGATCACACTGAGCCTCATGCAGGTAAAATGATGCTATAATTACTATCTCGATAATTTGTCTTCAAATGTTGTGTATGAGGAGAATTCTCATCGTACTGAGAGTTCATGATGTGAAGCTCCAGTTAAACAAAGAGAACGGTTCACTGACAACAGCTCAACACAAACCACAGTGTTACTGTGCGATGGATCACAGAGACTCAGGGTTTCCTCTAGAAAACTGATTTCAGATGTGAGCACAGGAAAATATCATCTGGACATGTTGTGTAGTCATGTTGTGTAGTCAGTGTGTGTGAAGCAGCAGATTGTCGACTCGTTCACAACAACAGGGACGTTCAGGCGAGGGGTGGAGCCTGTAGAGCAGCAGGAGGCGGGACATGACGTCTAAACTCCGCTGTGTTCAGTGTTGTTGTTTACAGCTCGTCCACACGGCGTCGGCCCTCATCACCAAAACACCTGGAACCTCCTCGTCTTTCCAAGTGGACGTCTTCGTCCTCTACGTGTACGGCTCCTCTTCTTCATCCTGAGACATTTGTGTTCTTCAGTTTCACGTCCGTCACGTGTTAGAAACCTCAGAGACACGCCCACTCGCTCACTGAGAAGGTTCTAGATGTTTTACCAGAGCAGAATTCCGTTCTGGAAGCTTCTGTAGAAATGATCAGGGAGCTACAGATGTGTAAAATAGTGCGTCCCTGAATTAGCTGTAGCTGTGTTATAACTTTATTATTTATTATCTGCTGAAAGGATTTATTTTTCCTTCAGCTGAGTTATTCCCTGACTGTGTTGCAGCAACATTTAGACCTGCAGGGAGATAAAACCTGTCGGTCATCAGGAATCATGAAGGCGTTTGGTTCCATGATGCTCAGAATCTGTGGCTGACCTGACAGAACTTTAGGGAGGACGTGTGCACAGGTTCATAGTTGAGATGAAGTGAAGAGCACTGAGCAATTACAGAATATAAGTGTAACGTGTGAATATTGGTCACAAATATCCAGACCACTCTTTCAACTTTTTCAAAAAGAACCTGTTCTGGTTTCGTTCATCCTGACCTGTTGAAATCATGTGAAGACGTCACCTTGGACTCTGGTGGACATTTGTCACTATTTTCTGGCACTTTGAAAATCCCGAAACCACAAAGACACTCAGTAAATAATGACATTGAATAGGTTTTACCAGAGATGTGGAACATGATCATCAGTTGGATTAATTGACCCACTGATAAAAGCTAATATCAATTATCAGAATAGATAAATCAAGTCCCTCCGCTGACAGATTTGAACAGAGACAGATTTTCAGGCTGCGAAGCTGCAGAGGAGGATTCAGTACAGTTTGTTCAGAGAGAAACATATAAATATTCTACATGTGGATGTTTCAGAAAAAGAGTGTTTTCATTGTCGTTGAGGTGACGGAGGTGTGAACAGTGATGGTGTGATGTGTTTAAACAGATGGTTCAGAGAGTGAGACAGCTCTCAGTCACAGACTTCATCATCACACCATCAGTTGATTTTATACAATCATGTCTCTAAAAAATGTTTTTATTTTTTATAGGAGTTTTAAGCTATTTGTTTTTTAATTCATTTTTGTGATTATTTTTATCAAACATTGTCATTTTTTACAATTTTTTACTGCAATAAATCTTCTCTTCAGGTTTTTACTGTTTTTCTGTTCCACATCTAAAATCTGAAACACACAGGCCCTTTGGTTTTTTTGTATTTTCTGTTTCTGTACCATCGGTTGATAAAAAGGATAAAACAAATGAAACAAACACATTTGATCTTGTAACGTGCCTTGGAGCTGAGTCAGTTGTAATAAATTTCATTGGTATGAACCTTTCTAGTGCAATTTGACTTTTCTTTCAGACCAGACACACAGGACTGAACTTTATTTTGAAATCCAAGTGGAGTCAGAGGCTTCCTGTCATTTACGCTGAACATTTAATAACAGTCGACGTTACTTCATCAGTGGAGTACTGCAATGACTTCTCCCTGTACCACCGCAGCTGTAGTACTATCTGCAGTAGCAGCTGAAGCCAAAGTGCGAGTATTTTTGGTATTAGCTGTGCTAGTAGTAGCTACAGACACTAGCATCAGTTATAGTAGTATTAATAATAATCTAAGTACTAGCTTACAAGCAAGTAGTGCTAGTAGTAGTAGTAGTAGTAGTAGTAGTAGTGAACAGCAGCATGTACACTGTAGTCACACTGTAGTTATTGTTGGTAACCATTAGTCATGAAGACGCTGCCTCTCATCTCAGAGATCGTCCCCCAGGGGGCGCTGGTGTGTGACTGCAGGTTCAGGAGTCACGACTCAGTGAGGCAGCAGCCGGCCACTTATTGGCTGGTGGTTACCATGGAAACCAGAGTTACAGGCAGGATGGGTAGATGGAGAATAATGACACTGTGTGTGTGCGTGTAGTATTACAGTATCAGTAGTAGTATTAGTAGTAGTATTACAGTATCAGTAGTAGTATTACAGTATCAGTAGTAGTATTACAGTATCAGTAGTAGTATCA